CGAATGCAGCTAAGAGCTCGCCCTCTGGCGGTGACAAGTGATACTAGCGAAACAAGGTAAATATTTCTTCTGTGTGTGACATTTCGTTTTGTTTTTATTTAAAATTGAATTTAGTGTTCGTTTTTTGAACACAGTTATTTTAAGAAAATAGTGTGAGGAAAATTTCAGCAATTATGGATAGAAAGAAGAAACTGTCAAACTATTATTGTTCAGTTCAAGGTTGCTCTTCATGGTCCAAGAAAAATCCAGAATTAAGTTTTCATCAAACCATTGAAGAAATTTTCAAAATATTATTGCCGATAGATAATACTCCCTGAACTTCATGAGGGTTGTTAGTAAATAAGGGCACTAGTTTGCAGACACAATATAAATTTCTAAATTTAAATTAACTTTACCCAATTTTCCCATATAGTACCACATGATCAGCGTTAAAAACTGCCTCTCCTTCTGATATACAACAAGAGTTTTCGTTGGCATATATGTAAATAGGAAATGTATTCCACAACGGATAAGTTCATAGTTATAACCAAATAAAATGTACATTAAATTGTAATGCTAGAGACAAATAAAGTAAACATAAATACTTGCCTTTAAATGTATTTATGAAATATTTGAAAACTATAAAATAACACAAAAGTCAAATAACCGCAGTTTGATAACAAAATTCCTAATAATAATGGCAAATAAGACAAAAGTTGTTCAAATGAATGTGTAAACACGAACGGCAATTAGTGATGGGAGATTTCGAGTGAAAATCGAGTGGCACTCGATTATTGAGATCACTCGAAATATCTCGAGATGTTTACTCCCACCACTCGAGTGATTATTATCCTACGGTTGCACCCCAAAATGTTAGTGCATACTGCAAATAGTCACTGATTGCGTAACCTTTTTTTTAGAATAAAACGAAAAAGTGGTTAGGTTTTGAAGTGCGTGAGCTTTTTTTTTTAGCTACGCTTATAAGTAATATATGACTAATACAAACATATTTGTGCGCCGCTGAGATGAAAACGACCAATATCTCGTATCTCGAGTGATCACTCGATTATTAGAAGTACTCGATTACCGATAACTCGATTATCAAAATTGGTCGATTATGCCCATCACTAACGGCAATGTCAAAATTACCTTGTCTCGGAGCTTACTGCTTTCGCCGTTTGGTGCGCTTGCATCTTAAAAATTATCGCGGATACAACTTTTACGCCACTGGAAAAATTGGCATTTGACAGCAAATTCTGAAGCGCCAATGAATTTTACACAAAAAGAGTTCTCTTGGTTCATTGCTCTAAAGTCAACCGTTTTCAAGAAAAATGACTTTTTATGAACAAAAACAAACATTTTGCTAACGTTTCGAAAATCTTTTGTAATTCTAAGGATCGTATGACACTATGCTAAAATTATAACTAATTTCAGTAATTAACCAAGAACTTTTTAATCTTGCATAGTATCATACAGAAACTGCAACAATTTTTGTTGCAATTTGTGTATGATACTATGCAAGATTAAAAAGTTCTTAATTAATTACTGAAATTAGTTATTATTTTAGTATAGTGTCATACGACCCTAAAGATAGATAGTAATAATTAACAAGTTTAACGAAATTCAACAACATTTGCAACAAGTAGCTATTAATAGTGGTAATGTGTGTACAAAAGCTCAGTCCTGTAGTTCAAACGGTTCTTAAGATATTGGCAAAAATCTGAAAAAAAGTTTTGACACTGTATCTGGAAAACGAAAGCCCGGAGAGAAAAATGAAAGAGGAAAAAAATGTTTCTTTTTTCTTTCAAGAGAAATTTACAGTTTTCCGTTGCGGCACTTATTTAGGAACACCCTGTATAAACGGTAATCGCACAGACGTGTGCAAGAGAGATAGAGCTAGTGCAGGCTTAAACTTCGTTCACAGAATTTCAACTGTAGCGCGCTACATTTAATTCAACCAATCAGTTAGCTATACTCGATTCCTCACCCCTTTCTTCTATTGGGTCATATTCCTGTTTGAAGTTAAAATGGTTTTAACTACATTTATGTGTGGTGGCTACACTAAAGTATGGTTAAGTTAAACATATTGAAAAATTATTGATTTTAGTTTTTATTCTATTCAGATGAATGGCAGAAGAGACAGCCGACGAATTTCTGATCTACAAAGACTTTATAAAGATAATATAGAGACTAGAAGACAAAAAATTCCATTAAAAATGTGTAGATATATTAATTCTATGAGTAAAACTACACTTGTGGTATTCAGAATTCTTTATCTTAACTCAAACTGAATTAAATTCGATTTCTCCTCTTTTAACAATACCAGTAATTTTAATTATTATTAATGAATAAGATACTATTTATTTATATGGAATTTCTGTACAAATTGGAGATATTAACAGGGGAATGTAATAATTAGAAATTTGAAGTCAAAGATATTTTATTATACATATTTAAAAATAATAATTGCAATAATTTTCCAAATAGTTTTTATAAAGCCTTCTTTAGATATTTCTCCATTTATTTTCCTCATATCATAAATTCGATCAGTTAAAATTACTCAAGCAATTGTTTTAAATACTTATATTATCTCGCTTTGCAAAACTATATCGATGCTTTCTTTTTCAACATATTATTTAAAGAGAAGTTTTGCTGAAGTATATTATAAGCACAATTCAGTTGAATCTGTTTATTTATATGTATTTAGTAATTTGAAGTGACACATTTAAGGGGGCAAAAGTTTGACGTCAAAATGAGATTTTATTTTGAGGCTGGGGGACATCCCAGACAGCAATATATATTCCCAGAATAATCCAAGTATATTCGATTTAGAACATTTGATTATTCCTAGAATCTGTTTTAAATATATTTAT